CTTTGATGGACAGAAAAGTCAGTGTGTGTTGTGTTGATACCTAATGGCTGCTTAGGTTGGAGTGAAACACTATGTTTGTGTCCCAAATGGAAACCTATTCCCTACATAGTGCACTACTTTTGACCAAGGTCTGTATGGAATAGTGCCATACAGGTCAAATAGTGTATGGAATAGTGTATGGTGCCCTTTGGGACGCAACCCAATACCCATATCTTATCTGTTGTCTTTTGCCAGATACAATGTGTCCTCCTATAGCCTATAGCCTGCTGAAGCTTCCCATGTTATTTCAAGGGCATTTACCGCACTTGTTGTGCACAGTGTTTGTGGTCCTAGCTTCCTAGTAGCACAGTACAGCGATGTACTGTAGCATTGTGTGGAGACTGGAGAGGTGATCAAATGTACCATGCTGTACCTTCACACAGTGTACATTTTCACTCAGAAGAGACAGCCTTATTAATCCCACTAGGATATTTCTGGTGTCCCTGCTGAAACCCCCCCCCCCCAGCATAGACCAGCACAGGCTTGTCATGCTGGTGACCAGCCTTCGCTGTGTTTTTGCTGGTGCCTTCGCTGTGTTTATGCTGGTGCCTTCACTGTATTTTTGCTGGTGACCACCAGCCTTCGCTGTGTTTTGGACCAGCATGGACTAGCTTGGTCACAAGCATACCAGCATACCAGCATAAGCAGGTCACCAGCATACCAGCATTACCAGCATACCAGCATAAACTGGTCACCAACATACCAGCATGAGCTTGTCACCAGCCTAACCAGCTAGATCAGGGATGGGCAACATACGGCCCGGATCCGTCCTGCGAGCACATTCAATCCGGCCCGGGGAAGTTTGAGTAAAAATAAATATATATATGTTTTGTGTCAAGAAAACACTCCAGGCCACTCTTGAACATCTAAAACGAGATAGAATGTATGTACAATTCCCACAGGGGGCCAGTATGAAAAATAAAAAATGTATGCACTCAAGTCGCTCTGGATAAGAACGTCTGCTAAATGACAAAATGTAAAATGTAAATGATACGTTTTCAAATAAATGCCCTTTTTCTGACCCGCAAATTGCTTTTGACGAACAAATCGGTCCGGAAGACAACGGTGTGATCTCTGAAATCCTGATGTGGCCCTCGAGCCGAAATGATTGTCCACGTCTGAGCTAGACCATGCTGGTCAGACTAGCTTGATCAGCATAGACCAGCATGGACTAGCATAGACCAGCATGGACTAGCATAGACCAGCATGGACCAGCATAGACCAGCATGGACTAGCATAGACCAGCATGGACCAGCATAGACCAGCATGGACCAGCATAGACCAGCATGGACTAGCATAGACCAGCATGGACCAGCTTTAAATGTAGGCTGGTTTATGCTGTATTTTCTTCTGCAGGGGCTGGCTAGGCTATATGGCTCAAAATTGTATCCAATTCCCTATAAAGTGCACTACCTTTGCCCAGGGTCCATAGGGCTCTAGTCAAAAGTATTGCACTATGTAGGGAATAGGGTGCCACGAGACTCAGCCTATGTCATTAGTAGACATTAAAGCTGTGGGTGGGAAAAAGCAGCCCACTGTCTGTCGGTGTCCGCTCAACTTTATTTTAGCAGCATGTCTGTCTGTCTGTCTACATCCGTGGACAACTAATAGCCTAGGCCTAGTAGTCTGCCATGAAGTAGGGAATGAAACAAAACATGCTGTGTGTTTTCACTGTAAGCCTATGTGTGTTAGTCTGTCAGTCCTGTCTGCCTGTCTCAGCAGCTAGATCTTCAGTAGTGCTATACTGAGTAAACTAGCCTACATGTTTTCCAGTTTGCCATATTGTCAGGTGTGGTTTATTTGAATAGGGACAGGTAGCCTACAAATTCATTGACACATTGAATAAACAATCATCTGATGTGTTGCGCCCCTAGATGGGTGCTGCTGACAGAACAGAACAGAACAGTAGAGTAGTAGAGGACAGTACAGGAAGGATACCAAGGGCTTGGTGCTGTGTGCCTTTAAGAGCAGCAGAGGAGGGTGGCTCCCTCAGCAGGCGACCACACGTTCTTGCTGAGGGGGATTTGTGTTGAGCTGGCAGGAATTAGGCTGGCCTTACTCTCCACGCATGAATACTTTTTATACTCTAATAAATACACACCGCCTGCCTCCCTTTCTACGCTGCCATAACCCACTGCCACATTCTCTCTATCTTTCTCTCCCACCATTGCTCTCCCGCTCTCCTCTTCTATCCTGCCTTTTTGCTTTTCCCCTTCCTTCTTCCCCCCTCTCTCTCTCCCTCCCCTCTCTTGCCTGTCCCTTTCTCTCAATCTCTCTTCATCCCTCTCAGCCCCCCGCCGCACGCACCCTCCTGCTCTCCCTTGCTTCATCCTCCCTCCTCCTCTTTTGCTCTCTCCCTTGCTCTCTCCCTCTCCCTGACCTGCTCTCTACCCCCCACCCCCCTTTGACCTCCTTCCTAGTTCCTAGCCTCTCATCTCCCCCTCTCTATCCCCACGCACTGGTCTCTACCCCTACCACCCTCTACCATGGAATAACCCACTGTCTCTCATCCCTCTCTCTCTTTCTAAATCTCTACCTCCTCACTCTCCCTGCCCTTGCTTCTGGCCCGCTCTAGCCCCACCTTCCTTCTCTCCCTTCCCTCTCCTCCCCCTCCCTTCCCCTCCCTCAGTGGAGGCTTTGGAAAGCTGACCCCAATACTGCCCTTACTGCACACACACTCTCCAAGCGGCACGTAGGCTTTAAGTCCAAATCTACATACACACATGCACTGGGAGACGCCCATGAACCCCTCTCAGTTCCACTCAGAGGGTTATGCATACAGGCCAGGCAGTGTGTCTGTGATAATGGGGGTCTATGTGATGAGCACCCTACCCCACCACCACTACACTATACTGGCCAGTGAGAGGTGGTGGAGCATTGCACAGCACAGCACTGCACTGCTCTAAGCTGCACAAGAGACACTACAGTCCCTCCTCTTCCTAGTCATAATGGGGCTGTGTGTGTTACGTTTCGTGTGTCGTGTGTGAGTGTGTGTCTAGTGTGTGTGTGTGTGTGTGTGTGTGTGTGTGTGTCTGCTTGTGTGTGTGTGTTTCTGACAGAGACAGGGGAACGAGAAGGACTGTGGAAAACAAAAACACACAGGTCATCCATCAGCGTGGCTCAGTGGCAGAGCCATGCACCAAACAATCACTTATTTAGTAGCTGCCTCTGGTTGAGTTGAGGATGGGGAGGGGACAACTTTCCCTGGTGTGGAGAGAGGTGTGTGTGTGTGTGTGTGTGTGTGTGTGTGTGTGTGTGTGTGTGTGTGTGTGTGTGTGTGTGTGGGGGGAAACAAGTAGTTTGCCCTGGTACTATGGTGTGCACCATTGTATAGTGTAGCTTACAGTGTGTGACTGGGGTAAAGGGGAGGTGGCAGTGCTTCCCTCTCTCTGTACTCTGAGTGCCATGCTCTCATGAATAAGTATCACTGGCTGCCTGCCTGGCCCCAGTCCAGCTCGGATTGCTTTAATAAACTAACACAGCACAGCAGCACACATCCCTCTCTGCCTTTCTGTCTGCCTGCCTGCCTCTCTGTCTGTCTGCCTTTCTGCCTGTCTGCCTCTCTGCCTGCCTGCCTCTCTGTCTGTCTGCCTCTCTGCCTTCTTGCCTCTCTGTCTGTCTGCCTCTGTCTGTCTGCTTCTCTGTCTGCCTGCCTCTCTGCCTGCCTGCCTCTCTGTCTGTCTGCCTCTCTGTCTGTCTGCCTCTCTGCCTGCCTGCCTCTCTGTCTGCCTGCCTCTCTGTCTGTCTGCCTTTCTGCCTGTCTGCTTCTTTGCCTGCCTGCCTCTCTGCCTGCTTGCCTCTCTGTCTGTCTGCCTCTGTCTGTCTGCTTCTCTGTCTGTCTGCCTCTCTGCCTGCCTGCCTCTCTGTCTGTATGCCTCTCTGTCTGCCTCTCTGCCTACCTGCCTCTCTGACTGTCTGCCTCTCTGTCTGCCTCTCTGCCTGCCTGCCTCTCTGTCTGCCTCTCTGCCTGCCTGCCTCTCTGCCTGCTGCACCATGGCTGTAACACTCTGCTGAGTGCGAGTACAAATAGAGCCACACCACACCAAGTGTTCCATGTGTATTCTTACTGACTACAACAGCTCCCTCTATGCTATGCTAACTGACAAACTGAGGTGAGGTGGGATACACTCAGGTTGAGTAGGCTCACGGATTTCCCAACTCTTCATTACAATATGTGTTTTACTCTCTAATGGCATCTCTAGTGTTTGGTTTGTTGATGATTCTCCAGTCTAATGTGCTCTTATAGTACTACTGTGCCTGCCTGGCCCAGTCCAGCTCGGATGTGCACAGATATCCCTTCTGCCTCTCTGCCTTCTGTTGCCTTGCCGTTGCCTTTCGCCTGTCTGCTCTCTGCCTCTTGCTCTCTCTGTCTCTGTCTGTCTGCTTCTCTGTCTGTCTGCTTCTCTGTCTGTCTGCCTCTCTGCCTGCCTGCCTCTCTGTCTGTATGCCTCTCTGTCTGTCTGCCTCTCTGCCGGCCTCTGCCTGCCTGCCTCTCTGTCTGCCTGCCTCTCTGTCTGTCTGCCTTTCTGCCGGTCTGCCTGTCTGCTTCTTTGCCTGCCTGCCTCTCTGCCTGCTTGCCTCTCTGTCTGTCTGCCTGCCTGCCTCTCTGCCTGTCTGCCTCTCTGCCTGTCTGCCTCTCTGCCTCTCTGCCTGCCTGCCTCTCTGTCTGCTGAGTGCGAGTACAAATAGAGCCACACCACACCAAGTGTTCCATGTGTATTCTTACTGACTACAACAGCTCCCTCTACTGCTAATTGACGGTACTGACAAACTGAGGTTGAGGGTGGGATTTACACTCAAGGTGTGATGTAGGCTCCACTTTGGATTTCCCCAACCTCTTCATTGACTGAAATATGTGTTTTTACATCTCTAAATTACATCTCTAAATCTCTATGTGTTGTTTGTGGTGTGATGATGATTCTCCCAGTCTAACTGGTGTCCCTCCCTGTGTGTTTCCACAGATGACTCATCCTCAGAGAGCGGCAGCGGGAATGGCATGCACACCATGACACCTCCGTCCGCGGGTGGGACGGCCCCGGGGTCAGAGGGGGGTGCGGGTGGACCCCCCTACAGGGAGGTGGTAAACGGCAATGGGCCCCTGGCCCCGCTAGACTTCAGCACCACCTCCTCGTCCTCATCGTCCGAGGATCAACAGGCGCCGGTCAACCTGAGTGAGACCAGGCTGCCCGGGACAGCCCTGATGGGCCCCTTCCAGCCCGACCCCGCAGATGAGCTGCGCAGAAAGTACCCTGTCAAGCCCCTCCCCCATGCTGCTGAGCTGTGCCTGGACAGAGACTCGATCAGGGACTACGGCAACAAGGTGAGGCCTTCTACTCAGACCTGGGTTTGAAATTATTTCAAATAGTTTACCTCGGATTTGATTGAGCTTATACAATACAATGCAACTTTCCTGGTACAATGAACCAATAGAATGGTCACAAAACTGCAACCCCTGCCCATCTGGCACTCCAGGCAGACTTAAGCAAATGCTAAAAGTAGGTCTGATGGTGATATATTACATACAAAGTGATCATGTTGAGCAATGAGCCCACCAGGACTGTGTGAGTAATAGTCTGAAAGCTCAGTGTGACATTGTTATAGATGACCACTGACTTGCTATGAACTATGAAGGGTGAGGTATGCACAAGAAGGTGAGGTTCATTGTCAGGGCATTGGACAAAGCTGAGAGAGGTTTCCATTGAGATCCTGCCACACTGCAATTACCTGTTCATTCTCGGGTCGGGTCGGAATCCAATACATCATGAAACCAGAAAGAGAATGTGCATGAGAGCAGCGAGAGTGGCTGTGCCATGGGAAGTAACCTAGTTGTGTTGCTGTGCTTGTGATGAGCTGTGATGAACGTCCATACAGGAGCCAGTGGCAGTGCCATTGGGCCTGTATGAAAGGAGACTGGGGATAAAAGGTTCTTCCTTCCTGCTCTCTGGCTATTGAATGAGACACACACTTCACCATGCTCTGACAATGCAGCCTTGTCCTTGAAGGCATCTTCTTTGCCGCCCTGTCACAGACGAGCGCCATTGGAAGGATCTGACTAATATAAAAGCTAGCAGTTTTTTGTGTCTCACTGTAATCAGTGTTCCTCACGATTGAGATTGTGCCGGCTGCTTTCAATGTGAAGGAGCATACAGACGGAGGGAAAACCTTACCCTGGCTTTGTATCTCTTCTTTCTTTGTCTGTGCCTATTATGTGTGTGTGTGTGTGTGTGTGTGTGTGTGTGTGTGTGTGTGTGTGTGTGTGTGTGTGTGTGTGTGTGTGTGTGTGTGTGTGTGTGACAGTCTCCTCAGTACAGCTCAGGAAGCTACGACTCATTGAAGATGGAGACGTGTGCCGAGGACCTGACCGTGAGCAGAGGTGCGGCGGCGGCGGCTGAGGACGATGACGATGACCATGAAGATCACGACGACAATGATAAGATCAACGACACGGAGGGCGTGGACCCCGAGAGACTAAAGGCCTTTAACGTAAGAGCTGCTCCCACCTCAGCTAGACATGACTGAACACACACACTGTACACTACATATAAGAGCTCCTCTCACCTTTTCATGACCTTCACCTCAGGAACACTGGAAACAGCAAATACAGTGCTATGAAAAAGTATTTGCCCCCTTTCTAATTTTCTCTACTTTTGCATATTTGTGATACTGAATGTTATCAGATCTTCAACCAAAACCGAATATTAGATAAAGGGAACATAAGTGAACAAATAACACAACAATTACATATTTATTTCATAAACAAAGTTATGCAACACCCAATTCCCCTGTGTGAAAAAGCTTCAGCTCACAGACGGATGGTCTGACATTCTCCTGTAGAATTCTCTGATACAGAGCAGAATTCATGGTTCCTACTATTAAGGCAAGTCGTCCAGGTCCTGAGGCAGCAAAGCATCCCCAAACCATCACACCACCACCATGCTTGACCTTTGGTATGATGTTCTTACTGTGGAATGCAGTGTTTGGTTTTCGCCAGGCATAATGGGACCCATCTCGTCCAAAAAGTTGACTCAAGTTTGCCAAAAAAGCACCTGGATGATTATCAAGACTCTTGGAAGAACGTTTTATGGACAGATGATTCAAAAGTATAACTTTTTGGACGACATAGTTCCAGTAATGCCTGGCGAAAACCAAACTCTGCATTCCACAGTAAGTACATCATACCAAAGGTCAAGCATGGTGGTGGTGGTGTGATGGTTTGGGGATGCTTTGCTGCCTCAGGACCTGAACGACTTGCCTTAATAGAAGGAACCATGAATTCTGCTCTGTATCAGAGAATTCTACAGGAGAATGTCAGACCATCCATCTGTGAGCTGAAGCTGAAGCGCAGCTGGGTCATGCAGCAAGACAATGATCCAAAACACACAATCAAGTCTACATGAAAATTGCTAAAAAGCAACAAATTGGAAGTTTTGGAATGGCCTAGTTAAAGTCCAGACCTAATCCCAATTGAGATGTTGTGGCAGGACTTGAAGCAAGTAGTTCATGCTTGAAAACCCACACGTCACTGAGTTAAAGCAGTTCTGCATGGAAGAGTGGGCCAAAATTCCTCCACAGCGACGTGAGAGACTAATCAACAACTACAGGAAGCATTTGGTTGGAGTCATTGTAGCTAAAGGTGGCACAACCAGTTATTGAGTGTAAGGGGGCAATTACTTTTTCACACAGGGGAATTGGGTGTTGCATAACTTTGTTTATGAAATAAATATGTAATTGTTGTGTTATTTGTTCACTTATGTTCCCTTTATCTAATATTTGGTTTTGGTTGAAGATCTGATAACATTCAGTATCACAAATATGCAAAAGTTGAGAAAATTAGAAAGGGGGCAAATACTTTTTCATAGCACTGTAGCTAGCAGAGCAGACACACACCTTTTTTCCTACAAAGATTCTTATTTTCTTGTTTTCAGATGTTTGTGCGTCTGTTTGTGGATGAGAACCTGGACCGCATGGTGCCCATCTCCAAGCAGCCCAAGGAGAAGATCCAGGCCATCATCGAGTCGTGCAGTCGCCAGTTCCCCGAGTTCCAGGAGCGCGCTCGCAAGCGCATCCGCACCTACCTCAAATCCTGCCGCCGCATGAAGAAGAGCGGCATGGAGGTACATACCGCACCTACCATACTTCATCCCTCTTTTATTCCTACTCTCTTTCATCCCTCCATCTCTGTCTCTCTCATTCAGTGTGTCCAGATGTACCGCACCTACCATACTCCCTCTCCTCTCTCTCTCATCCATTTCTCTTTCAACCCTCTCGCATTCATACCCCCTCTATCAAATCAAAATCGAATTTTATTGGTTGCCATGTTTAGCAGACGTAATTGCGGGTGTAGCGAAATGCTTGTGTTCCTAGCTCCAACAGTGCAGTAATATCTAACATTACACAACAATACACACAAATCTAAAAGTCAAAGAATGGAATTAAGAAATATAGAAATATTAGGACGAGCAATGTCGGAGTCCGGAGTATAAATATACTGAACAAAAATATAAACACAACATGCAACAATTTAATTTGACTGAGTTACAGTTCAGGAAGTCAGTCAATTGAAATACATTCATTAGGCCCTAATCTATGGATTTTACATGACTGGGAATACAGATATGCATCTGTTGGTCACAGATACACTATATATACAAAAGTATGTGGACACCCCTTCAAATGAGTGGATTCGGCTATTTCAGCTACACCCGTTGCTGACAGGTGTACAAAATCGGGCACACGGCCATTCAATCTCCATAGACAAACATTGTCAGTAGAATGGCCTTACTGAAGAGCTCAGTGACTTTCAACGTGGCACCGTCATAGGATGCCACCTTTCCAACAAGTCAGTTCGTCAAATATCTGCCCTGCTAGAGCTGCCCCGGTCAACTGTAAGTGCTGTTATTGTGAAGTGGAAACGTCTAGGAGCAACAACGGCACAGCCGCCAAGTGGTAGGCCACACAAGCTCACAGAACGGGACCGCCGAGTGCTGAAGCGTGTAGTGCGTAAAGAAATCATCTGTCCTCGGTTGCAACACTCACTACCGAGTTCCAAACTGCCTCTGGAAACAACGTCAGCACAAGAACTGTTCGTCGAAAACTTCATGAAATGGATTTCCATGGCCAAGCAGCCGCACACAAGCTGACCATGCACAATGCCAAGCGTCGGCTGGAGTGGTGAAAAGCTCGCTGCCATTGGACTCTGGAGCAGTGGAAACGCGCTCTCTTGAGTGATGAATCATGCTTCACCATCTGGCAGTCCAACGGACAAATCTGGGTTTGGCGGTTGCCAGGAGAACGCTACCTGCCCCAATGCATAGTGCCAACTGTAAAGTTTGGTGGAGGAGGAATAATGGTCTGGGGCTGATTTTCATGGTTTGGGCTAGGCCCCTTAGTTCCAGTGGGAAATCTTAATGCTACAGCATACAATGACATTCTGTGCTTCAAGACTTTGTGGCAACAGTTTGGGGAAGGCCCTTTCCTGTTTCAGCATGAAAATGCCCCCGTGCACAAAGCGAGGTCCATACAGAAATGGTTTGTCGAGCTCACTGAATGGAAGCAAGTCCTCGCAGCAACGTTTCAACATCTAGTGGAAAGCCTTCCCAGAAGAGTGGAGGCTGTTATAGCAGCAAAGGGGGGACCAACTCCATATTAATGCCAATGATTTTGGAATGAGATGTTCGACGAACAGGTATCCACATACTTTTGGTCATGTGTACCTTGAAAAAAAGGGTAGGCGCGTGGATCAGAAAACCAGTCAGTATCTAGTGTGACCACCATTTGCCTCATGTAGCGTGACACATCTCCTTCGCATAGAGTTGATCAGGCTGTTGATTGTGGCCTGTGGAATGTTGTCCCACTCCTCTTCAATGGCTGTGCGAAGTTGCTGGATATTGGCGGGAACGGGAACACGCTGTCGTACAGGTCGATCCAGAACATCCCAAACATGCCAATGGGTGACATGTCTGGTGAGTATGCAGGCCATGGAAGAACTGGGACATTTTCAGCTTTCAGCAATTGTGTACAGATCCTTGCAACATGGGGCCATGCATTATCATGCTGAAATATGAGGTGATGGCGGCGAAGAATGGCACGACAATGGGCCTCAAGATCTCGTCACGGTATCTCTGTGCATTCAAATTGCCATCGATAAAATGCAATTGTGTTCGTTGCCAATTGCACGCTCCCTCAAAACTTGAGACATCTGTGGCATTGTGTTGTGTGACAAAACTGCACATTTTAGAATGGCCTTTTATTGTCCCTAGCACAAGGTGCACCTGTGTAATGATCATGCTGTTTAATCAGCTTCTTGATATTCCACACCTGTCAGTTGGATGGATTATCTTGGCAAATGAGAAATGCTCACTAACAGGGATGTAAACAAATTTGTGCACTACATTTAAGAGAAATAAGCTATTTGTGCATATGGAAATTTTCTGTGATCTTTTATTTCAGCTCATGAAAAATGGGACCAACACTTTACACGTTGCGTTTATATTTTTGTTCAGTATATATACAGTTGAAGTCGGAAATTTACATACACCTTAGCCAAATACATTTAAACTCTGTTTTTCACAATTCTTAACATTTAATCCTAGTAAAAAGTCCCTGTCTTAGGTCAGTTAGGATCACCACTTCATTTTAAGAATGTGAAATGTCAGAATAATAGTAGAGAGAATTATTTCATTCATCACATTCCCAGTGGGTCAGAAGTTTACATACACTCAATTAGTATTTGGTAGCATTGCCTTTAAATTGTTTAACTTGTGTCAAACGTGTCGGGTAGCCTTCCACAAGCTTCCCACAATAAGTTGGGTGAATTTTGGCCCATTCCTCCTGACAGAGCTGGTGTAACTGAGTCAGGTTTGTAGGCCTCCTTGCTCGCACACGCGTTTTCAGTTCTGCCCACAAATGTTCTATAGGATTGAGGTCAGGGCTTTGTGATGGCCACTCCAATACCTTGACTTTGTTGTCCTTAAGCCATTTTGCCACAACTTTGGAGGTATGCTTGGGTTCATTGTCCATTTGGAAGACCCATTTGAGACCAATTTGTAACTTCCTGACTGATGTCTTGAGATGTTGCTTCAATATATCCAGATCATTTTCCTTCCTCATGATGCCATCTATTTTGTGAAGTGCACCATTCCCTCCTGCAGCAAAGCACCCCCACAGCATGATGCTGCCACCCCTGTGCTTCATGGTTGGGATGGTGTTCTATGGCTTGCAAGCGACCCCCTTTTTCCTGCAAACATAACGTTGGTCATTATGGCCAAACAGTTCTATTTTTGTTTCATCAGACCAGAAGGCATTTCTCCAAAAAGTACTATCTTTGTCCCCATGTGCAGTTGCAAATCTTAGTCTGGCTTTTTTATGGCTGTTTTGGAGCAGTGGCTTCTTCCTTGCTGAGCGGCCTTTCAGGTTATGTCGATATAGGACTCGTTTTACAGTGGATATAGATACTTTTGTACCTGTTTTCTCCAGCATCTTCACAAGGTCCTTTGCTGTTGTTCTGGGATTGATTTGCACTTTTCGCACCAAAGTACGTTCATCTCTAGCTGACAGAACGCGTCTCCTTCCTGAGCGGTTTGATGGCTGCGTTGACCCATGGTGTTTATACTTGCATACTATTGTTTGTAGAGATGAACGTGGTACCTTCAGGCGTTTGGAAATTGCTCCCAAGGATGAACCAGACTTGTGGAGGTCTACAATTTTTTGGCTGATTTCTTTTGATTTTCCCATGATGTCAAGCAAAGAGGCACTGTGTTTGAAGGTAGGCCTTGAAATACATCCACAGGTACACCTCCAATTGACTCAAATGATGTCAATTAGCTTCTAAAGCCATGACATCGTTTCCTGGAATTTTCCAAGCTGTTTAAAGGCACAGTCAACTTAGTGTATAAAAACTTCTGACCCACTGGAATTGTGACACAGTGAATTATAAGTGAAATAATCTGTCTGTAAACAATTGTTGGAAAAATGACTTGTCATGCACAAAGTAGATGTCCTAACCGACTTGCCAAAACTATAGTTTGTTAACAAGAAATGTGTGGAGTGGTTGAAAAACTAGTTTTAATGACTCCAACCTAAGTGTATGTAAACTTCCGACTTCAACTGTATATGGATATTTATATATACTGTATATATGTATATACAGTGGGGGAAAAAAGTATTTAGTCAGCCACCAATTGTGCAAGTTCTCCCACTTAAAAAGATGAGAGAGGCCTGTAATTTTCATCATAGGTACACGTCAACTATGACAGACAAATTGAGAAAAAACATTCCAGAAAATCACATTGTAGGATTTTTAATGAATTTATTTGCAAATTATGGTGGAAAATAAGTATTTGGTCACCTACAAACAAGCAAGATTTCTGGCTCTCACAGACCTGTAACTTCTTCTTTAAGAGGCTCCTCTGTCCTCCACTCGTTACCTGTATTAATGGCACCTGTTTGAACTTGTTATCAGTATAAAATACACCTGTCCACAACCTCAAACAGTCACACTCCAAATTCCACTATGGCCAAGACCAAAGAGCTGTCAAAGGACACCAGAAACAAAATTGTAGACCTGCACCAGGCTGGGAAGACTGAATCTGCAATAGGTAAGCAGCTTGGTTTGAAGAAATCAACTGTGGGAGCAATTATTAGGAAATGGAAGACATACAAGACCACTGATAATCTCCCTCGATCTGGGGCTCCACGCAAGATCTCACCCTGTGGGGTCAAAATTATCACAAGAACGGTGAGCAAAAATCCCAGAACCACACGGGGGGACCTAGTGAATGACCTGCAGAGAGCTGGGACCAAAGTAACAAAGCCTACCATCAGTAACACACTACGCCGCCAGGGACTCAAATCCTGCAGTGCCAGACGTGTCCCCCTGCTTAAGCCAGTACATGTCCAGGCCCGTCTGAAGTTTGCTAGAGTGCATTTGGATGATCCAGAAGAGGATTGGGAGAATGTCATATGGTCAGATGAAACCAAAATATAACTTTTTGGTAAAAACTCAACTCATCGTGTTTGGAGGACAAAGAATGCTGAGTTGCATCCAAAGAACACCATACCTACTGTGAACTATGGGGGTGGAAACATCATGCTTTGGGGCTGTTTTTCTGCA